AGGATCATTTTTATATATTTCAGTATCATAATAACCATCTTTACATTCTAAACATAATCCTTCTTCAGAACATTAAGCACATCCTTCATCTTCATTACAGCTTTGTACTTTATCTAGAACTCTAGTAGCGATTTCTAAGCATTATTTACTTTCTTAATCTTAATAATAACCATCTTAACATTATAAGCATTCCCCAGATTAATTACATTACATACATCCTTAAGAGCAACCATATTAAGTTTTTAAAAAATTAGATAAAATACTAAAAATAAAGAAATTTATAAGAATTAGTTTATAAAACATTTATTTTAATTTTTATATTTAATTATTTTTTAAAAAATAAAATTTTATATATTTATTTATATTTATATATATTTATAATATATAAATGTATATAAATATATATTTATTTTTTTCTATTTTTTAAATTTTCTATAATATTTATTTTGGAAATAAAATAGATAAGTTTTTTATATTTTGTTTATGATAATATTAACGAAAATATTATAGTATTTATTTATTTTTGATATATTTTTAATTATATTATTATTTATGGAATAATAAAAATATAAAAATAAAATATTTTTAAAAATATATTTATATTTATTTTATTTTTTATAAAAAAATAATTTAAATTTACTTATTGTATAAATTATAAAAAATTAAATATAATTTAACATTAATAAAATAAGAAAAGTATAATATATACTATAAATTCTTTATTAATTAATAAATACAATGCTTTAAATTTTATTTATTTTATATTTAATGATATTAAAAAAGATTAAAAATATATTTATTATTAATTAAATTTTTTATATTTTAGATATATATATATTATTATCAAAAATCCACAAATTATATTAATAAAAAAAAATATCTTTTAAAAAAAATCTATTTTAACATAATAATCAATATTTATTTATTTAAAGTCATTAAATATATTAATTTTTTATTTTTTAAATAGTTAATAAATATATATATTTATTTATTTATTTAAATTATTCTTATATTTATTAAAGTTTTATTAATATAGAAAAATTTTATTCATTCTTTTAATATTTATATTTTAAATATAAAAATGTTTTTTTTATAATTTTATTTTTATATTTTTTCTTAATAAATTTAATTTATAAAATTATATTATTATTTTTAATTTAACATTATAAATATACATACATATTATATAAATCTATTAATAATAATAATACTTATATTTAAAAAATATATAAATATATATATATTTATATGTATAATTAAAATAAAAAATCTATAATTTATTTTTTATGTGTTAAATTATATTTTTAATAAATAAAATTTAGATATAATAAAAATTTATTTTCTAATTAATTATAATTATTATCAAAAATATTTATATTTATTTTTATATTATTATTTATTTATTTTATTTTTTATTTTTTTTATTTTATATTTTTTTTATAAAACTTTTTTTATTTATTTTATGTCTATTAATAATATAATCTTTTTTTTTTTTCTTATATTTTAAATAAATTTTAATTTAATTCAAAAGATATTTTTAATTTAATAAAAAATATTTACACTTAAAAATAAATAAAAACAAAAATATGAATAATTTATTAATAATTTAAAGATAAAAACATAACTAATATATCATATTCATTTATTTATTTTAGATAATATCAATTTTTTTTATAAAATACAAATGTATATATATATATTAAAATATTTTAATTAATATTAAATAAAATATTATAATTCTATGTATAAATTATTATATTATTTTTTTTTTTAAATAAAAATAATATTTATAAAATTTTATATATTTTAAACCAAAAACATTAACTTTTAATAAAAAAAATATATTTTTTAAAATCTTATTAATAAAATAAATTTTTAAATTATACAGATAAATGAAATTTTTGTTTTTATAGCATTTATTTGTAAAATTAATTAATAAAAATTATAATAGATTATATTTAAATATTTATAAATTATTTATAATTATATATTTATATATTTATCTTTTTATATATTTATATATTTATAATTTATTATATTATTTTTTTTATATATAAAAATAAATTTAATATTGATATTTTTAATATATATAATCATTTTAATTAATATATATTCTTATATATATTTATATATATTAGATTATTTTTTAATTATATTACCAACATATTTTAAATAATTTAAATATTAAAAAGATATATATATATATATATATAAATTTAATAACATATGATTAAATATTTAATATTTATATATATATATATATATTATTTTATTTTTCTCTTCTTAACATAATTATATTTATTATAATAGTCTAAATTTCTATTAGATATTATAAGACAATTATGTAAAAATTATAAATTAATATTATGGTAAATATTTTATTTTATTATTTAATAAGCCTAATTATGTATATAAGAATATTTATAATTCATTCCCTTATATACTAAGCATATTTAGAATAAACTTTTAATAAAAGCTAATTAATAATTATATTGGAAGAATCCTAGATTTTTTTAATACTATTTAAAGTATACTTATTTTCATTAATATATTTCACATAATATTTATTTATTTATTTAACTTTCTAATATAATTAATAAAAATTAGATTATAAATCTGATTTACACATACAGTTTATTGATATAATTTTTTTGGCTATATATTTATAAAAGATTTTATTGACTTACTTTTAGAAGAGTTAAATTTAGCATGTTGAAATTATATAAAGTATGGAGTAAAAACAAAAATATTGAAATATTATTTAGATACTATTATACATAAATTTTTAAATGTGCGAAATTTCTAAGATAATAATAAAATAATCTTAAAATAATAAATAAAAGATAAATTGCATAAATAAAAAACATACAGAAGATAAAATATTAATATTGAATTAAAAAAAATTAAGTTTGAAATAAATTAAAAATAAAAAAATAAATAAAAATATGAAGAGTATATATCTATTTAAATATATAGATATATAAATATATATATATATATATATATTTATATATATTTGTATATATTATTATATATCATTTTATATCATTTTATTATCTATATTATTTAAAAATTTTTATTTTTTTTATATCATTATTTTCAAATTATATAAAATTATTACTTATTTTATTATTTATAATTATTTTTATTTTTATTTTTTAATTCAATTTTTTTATATTTTTTTTTCTTATATTTTGACTAACTTATTTTAATAATTAAAATTATTATTTAAATACATATCACAATTTATTTATTAATATAATTTTTATTTTTATTTTTTTACAGTTTATTTATAATTTTTATTATTTTCATAAACTTCTAAAATAAAAATTTAATATATTAAATTTTCTTATCATATTATTTATGTTTAATATTTAATAATTTTTTTAAAATTTATTACTATTTATTTTTAATATCATTATTCTTTTTTTATATTATAAAAAATTATTTTAATTATTATAACCATAATATTTATAAAATACTCTAGTATACATAATAAATTATTAAATTTATCTATTTACTCTAACTTTTTTTTTGCTATGATTCTCTATTCTAACAAATCTATTATTTGAATTCTAAAAATATAAAATACGGATTTTTAATTTTATAATAAATCATATCTATTTTTCATATTTTTATTATAAAAGCATAAAATAATATATTATCATCAACTAATATTATCTTTATAAAAAATTTATATTATATTAGTTTTTAAAGGAATATATATAATATTTTTTAATCATTAAATAAAAAAAATATTAATATATAATAATAAAA